TAAATATCCAGTTATTCAAAATCAATGGATTGAAGTGGCGTTTTTGAAATTTCATTCTTCTGATGGCGTATTGTAGATTCAAAATTACTTTAACATTTTTTTCGTTATAAATTAGAAGAGAGACAACTGCTGATATAATATTCAATCCCATATTTATATACTGAATATAAGTTATGAATCGCACGGAAGAATCGTTATCAAATTTATCGTCAAAGAATAGTGTGATACTAAATTTATATACAATCAAATAGATCAATACGCCGGTCATTAGACTTAATTTTGTTGAAGTTGTATTACTTGTTGGTGTTATAAAATTGTTATATATATAGTATCGGCGATAGAGAACTGTTATCTCTGCCAGATTAAGGGGTAGTAACAAATTCTTTAAATCATTGTCGAGATAATTATCTGGCATGTATTCTGTAGGAATATCTATAGACATTTTAAATTTATAATTATGCACGTATCTGTTTACTTTATTTTTTAAATATTTTTGCTAAGACTTTACACTGTGCAACACTAAACGTTCAAATGAACATATAGAAATGTTTGAACGTTAAGGGGAAATGTCATTAATCAAATTGTAATTTGTTTTATCTTTTATTGATCAAACAACATTGTGTTTCGTTGATATTGAAGTAATATAATAAGCATTTTTTTTCATCTTGATAAAAAAAATATTCAATGTAAGGTTCTGACACGTTCTGACACAATAATGTACTTTCTTATTGTATCTAGCTTTATAGTGTTCTATATAGAAGAAACATAGTTTTCGAAATCAAAAACTATGTCGGGTACTTTGACATATTGAAAATGTTTACAAAGAAATACAAGAAATATATTTTTATGTATAATTTATCGAACAGGAATACAAATTATGGAAAATAAGAATAATAGTAACAATAAATAATAATACATATATTAGTATATATTAGGTCTTTGCCTTATGAAATTGCCGTTTTTTATGAAATATATGAAGAGTATTTTCATTCTATATTTTTTATTTCCAATCACCCATGCAATAAATATGCATCTTTGCCAACGCATTGGTAGCTTATTGATGACCTTCTTGAAGAAATCAGCTGGACGGGAGGCAACAAATTCTTCAAAGGCATTTTGTACTACCTATCGGGTATTTTATTCCTGCCAAGAAGTAATCCAAATTCTGGAAAAAGTAGAAGTCTGCAGGCGCATGATGGAGAATTTCCGAGGAGCTGAACGATTGACCAAAGCTGGTTGTTGTGTTCAGTCATCACAGTACATATCTGCAGTAATGCTCGTCTCGTTTGGTAAGAAGCTGTGATGAATTACATTCAATTTAGATCACCAAACAGTGACCGTCACTTTTCTAGGGCTAAGTTTTTGTTTAGGGCATTGTTTGGGTGCTGAACCAGGGTCCAACCAATTTGCTGAGCGCTTACGACTTTCTAACAGGATCTATTTCTCGTCACAAGTAACAATGTGGTTCAGAATTCCTTCATTTGTATACCTGTTGAGCAGTGCAAGGCACGTCTCGACGCGTACTTTGGTACCCATTTGTTAAACTTTTTTACCTTGCCAATTTGTCGCAGACGGACCAATCTTGTTTTGATGCTACTGCTGATTTATCCGTAGATTGAGTGTCATCAGCTTACACAATCACCTTCGATTCGTCATTGTCGTTCAAAGTTTTCGAACGACCACTGGGTTCATTTTACGAGCGGCAATTTTATACGTAAAGACCTATTATTAAATAGTGTTTAGATATAATTTTAGTTAAGCTTTTATACTTATGCTAGTAATATTAAAATAAAAGTTTTGAAGTGTTGTAGGGTGAGTAGTGTTTATTAAATTATAGTTTCAGAAATAGTGGATAATTTATAAGGTCTATTCGCTAGGTGCATAGTGGCGGAATCACGAAACGACCGCAGCGCGCACCGTGGCGGAAAAAGGAACTGGGTTGGACGAACTGTAATTTTTTACTAGAGAAGTTATCGTATACGTACATTTTATGTTAATTTAAATGAACATGCGTCACGAAACAAGCTGCGTAATCAATGGCAAAGACAGTGATCGATTTCGAGAGGATAATGTAAAGGCTGAGACCGTATTAAATATTAAATTAAATTCCCCAAAACTTGTTTTTTTATATGAGTAATATTTTGTATATTTACTGTGTATTAGTAAATTGCAGTGCTCAATATTTTCTAATAAATAAACCATAATGAATCCAAGAATAAAATTGAAAGAAAAATTTAGACATAAGTTGAGTCTTGTTCTTGTATTTCTTGCAAATAAATACAAGAACAAGACTCAAAATACCAATTTATTTTAAAAAGAAAATAATAAATTTATAAATTTACATTGATCATCTATCACGCCGTATACCTTGCAAGGTAGGTTATGATTATGATTTATTTGGTATTTTTTACATTGTTCAACGACGTTTCTCACTGAAGACTTTCTGTTTTTATGTTTTTGTGTCAGCATTCTATTTGCGATCGATATTTGTAATATAATTATTATTAATTACTACAGTAATATGATTATTATTACAACATCGCATGAGATAGAAAATTGAGCGTTAAATGTAATCTGACCACAACTAATTTTCCATACTACGTGTATTTCTAATTAAAAAAAAGTGTTTAAAATCTATTTGTTGATAGCGCACTGTAGCAGTTGGTTATTAATTTATAATAAATATGATGTTAAAAAACAACAGTTCCAGAATCATTTGAGTCATAATCCACTCACAAGAAATGAAAGATGTCGATGGTAAATTTCTTACCGGAATTGGGTTGAACACAACTTTGCCTTCATTGGCTTATCTATAGTAAATGTTGCCTCTCAAGATCCTCCAAAGCATCATTTCAAATGGAAAGCTTCTACTTCGTCGCACCACTCCAGTGAATGTGAATAACCTCCTTGCAATAAGTATGGTGCGGCAATTGTAATTCTTTTATCGAACATGAAAACAGATATGAATAGAATAATAAGCTCTATATTAGTCTTAACAGAGAAAAACGGCAGTTTTTTTTTTTAATATACATACATACTGTTTTCCAAGCTTATACTCCTCCTCGCCATCACCTAGTGATGGTCCAATAGTACCCAATACATATTTCAAGTCTACCAATAGTACCCAATACATATTTCAATTCTACGAGGTCCATATTTGCAGTAGACTAGCTTCGTTAGTTGACATTTCATCGATGTCTTCCTTCCATTCATTCAATAATTTCTGGAATTATTGTTGTGTATCTCGTTATCTTCTTTCATCTCCAACAAGTTGAGTCAAAACCAATTATTAACATTATGTTTGATTGTTGTTGCGATGTTGTCTGTGATTGTTCGGAATCCAATTTTTATTTTGTCCATGTTTCAACTTAATGTTTTAAAAGAAAGTAAAACAGTGTGCATTATTAACGTCATAAATAATTATCTGCAATATACTCGTATATGAAATGCGTCCGTTATTGTATTTAATCCGTTTAATTTTTTTAATTATTCCCCGTGAAGTTAGCTATGAGAAAGTCCGTGTGTACTACCTAAAATTTACTTATTATTTCATATTGAAAGGGAAATAAGAAATATCGACATTATGACAGTTTCGATATTTCTGATTACTCTCTATAGATTTATTGGATCGAATAGGATCTCCGTAAATTGCGATGTTTCATTGAAATTATTGTTTCTTCATCAATACGCCGGCCATTTGACATTTCAGTCTTCTTCTTCTTTTTTAAATTCATGCCCTATTTGCGTTTACACAATTCCACCAATGTCAGGTTTGTTGTCTTTACACGTAAAGAAACAGTAATCAAGAAAAACAGTTGAAGTTTAAGATGTAGGTACTACTTTAAATACATTCCCGTTAGGAAAAGCAAAAAAAGTTGCAACAAACCATTCTCTTTGGTGTAATTTTAAAGTTATTATAAAAATTATTGATAGATGTCAGATTATTTTGACAGAGTCACGTCAAACTGGAAACACATTAGAACAACGCGCAGATAAGCCATTAATTAAAGAAGAAGAAGAAGAAGATACTTTGTTGATATATTGGATTTTCTACAGATAATTAATTCGAGATACTTATGAAAGTGAGTTAAAGTAAAATAAGTATAATCGTTTTTATACTATAATGTTGTAAGTTAGCGAAATATAATAGGTAATCTATCATGCATGGCAAAGAGTTTAACAATGGCGGTGACAGTAATCTGAAATTTGATTTAATAAGAAAATTAGAGTCTTTAAATTCAGATACAAGATTTGATTAACATGTGTAAAATACATGTTATTTAAGTATGATTAATAAATAATATAAGAAAATCTCATTTGAATTATATTTTATTCTTTAGTAATTTTACACGCCATCATTGGCCAAATATGTGAGGTGACATCGCTTTTAGTGACGACGATAATACTATGTTTTTTTTATATAAAATAATGATATTCCGTTTGTTTCATTAATGATCCTAAACTAAAAAACAAATCTATAAATTTTCTCCTTTAAACTATTATTTGTTCTATTCTGTACTTATCACGAGAATTGCAGATGTTGGCCGGATTTAACTTAATGGTAAAAATAAAAATAAATACTATATTGGATAAATTTCGTAATCACAATGCTGAATTATTTAATTTAGAAAAAAATCACAAGGTGGATTTTGAATCCATAACCTTTCGCAATTCGGGAGATAAAATAATGTTTTTCATAAATATAACGCTAAATTTTTTGGTGAGTACATATATGACCCAAATACTGTGATTCGATGATGATGTTGATGATGATGGAAATTAAAATTGTATCAGATGATGTATATATTGGAGAATAGTTGGTTTTCTATTGTACTGATTTGATGCTTCTGCTTTTTTCATAAAAATCATCATAGAGCTTTCTATGAATGAATGAAGTAGATGCTCCGAATCATGTGATGGAAATTAAAATGTATATATAGATGTACTTTTGCTTCTTTGATAGAAACTCTATGATGGTTTCGATTCGGAGGAGCGAGAATATGACACAGTGCGATTTGTTCTTACAACCCGAGGCAGCCTTTCAAACATTATCGGATCTTGGCGAAATGGAGTGTATTCAGTTTCTTGATGTAAGTTTGACTTTATTAACATAACATAAAGAACCAATGAGAAAAAAGTAAAACAGGATGAGAATATTTGTTTTTACTTTTTACCAAACGAATTAAAATTTGTCCAGCTAACGTCGATAACTATTGGAATCTGCACCTAAAGTCAATGGCAATATTTTTTTTATAAACCATGTGCATTTTCGTTATAATAAAAAAAAATCATCATCGTTTTCAGCAAAATTTCTTACCCGTAGAAGTCTTTTAGATCTATTTGAGAATTTTTTTAATAATTTTGCTGGTTGAAGTTCAATTGTCCAATACTTATAGATTAACCTAGAACCTTTCTACAAATCGATTGAAATAATTATTGAGTTTATTACCTACATTCATTAGATAGATTTTTGTTTTGTAATCATTTGTAGCAGCCGAAAGAAGATTCACAAACATTCCAGAGAAATTATATGGCAGAAGTACGTCGTTTCGACGCTATGGAAAGACAATTGCGATACTTAGAAATGGAAGCAACTAATGCAAATATTAAAATACCCAAAGCAAAAGATGAACCCAATGCATTGAATCCTAAAGAAACTCTGGATTTAGAGGTGATTTCGTAATTTTTATTAAAGTACATATTATAAAGCAGGGAGCTCGATAGCGCGTGTCTAATATTTCGACCTTCTTCGTGGATGAAATCGAATAGAAATAACGAGCCGTAGCCCACTCTCCAATGCAGAGCGGTAGGCATTAACGATTGTTAGATGCTTCCTTTAATATAATTAGTAACGATTGTTAGATGCTTCCGTTGTCAACAGGCTAACGTCCTTTGAGATAATTAGTTGTTTTCCTGCGATTTCGCCCACGTATATTATAGTCTATGTTACCCGTGTGTGATAAAATTTCGAAGATTTCCCTCTGCAAACTAATATAATGAATATGTACTTAATTAATTTTATCTACTTATGGTATTATTTATGAGATATAGAACCAAAACTTAGGTTATTTTTTGTTTATCACCACAACGAAGTCAATTAACTTCCGAATAATTAGATTCATTGTTTTATATAATTCCAGAACTTATTGGATGAATGGGAGGAAGACGTTGATGAAATGTCAACCAACGAAGCTAGTCTACTGCAGAATTATGTGGACCTCGTAGAATTGGAATATGTATTGGGTACTATTGGACCATTACTAGGTGATGGCGAGGAGGAGTCTAAGCTTGGAAAACAGTATGTATATATATAAAAAAAAAACTTTTTCTCTGTTATAAATGAATATAGAGCTTATTATTCTAATCATATGTTTTCGTGTTCGATAAAAGAATAACAACTGCCGCACCATACTTGTTGCAAGGAGGGCACTTGTTCATATTTACTGGAGTGGTGCGACGAAGTAGAAGCTTTCCATTTGAAATGATGCTTTGGAGGATTTCGAGAGGCAACATTTACTATAGACAAGCCAACGAAGACAAAGTTGTGTTCTATCCAACGTTGGTAAGTAATCTACCACCGATATCTTTTCATTTCTTGTGTGTGGATTATTACTTTCAAATGATTCTGTAACTGGTATTTTTTAACATCATATTTATTTCTATATTAATAACCTACTGTTATAATGCGCCATCGACAAAGAAAATTTAAACACTTTTATTTAAAATACTCGTAGTATGAAAAAGAAGTTGTGGTGAGATTACCTTTAACGCTAAGTTTTATGTCTCATGAGATGTTGTAATAATAATCATATTACTGTAGTTATATTAATTAAAATACAAATATCGATCGCAAATATAATACAGATATAAAAACATAAAAATAGAAAGCATTGTATGAGAAACGTCGTTGAACAATGTGAAAAATACCAAATTAATCATGAGATTGGCATTACCATATTCAGTTCAGTTTAATGTAGAATCAATATCTCCTCTACCTACTTCGCAAGGTATTCGACATGAAGATATAGATAGATTATTAATGTACGATATTATATTTACATAGGAGTTTGTTCCGTGTTTTGTATACATCTTTTGTTTTTAGTTTCCATATAATATTACCATTAATGTATAATATTATAGGTGGTATTATTTATACTAGAGGAATTTGGGGCAAGATGGAAGGCATAACTTTGCTTAATTTTTTTTATTTTAATCATTCTTTGAAGGTAATATAATAATGAAAATAAATTTCGAATTAACAATCTCATCAAAAAACTATTCTACTCTCTAAAATGTAACCATATAAACTCCATTTTGCCTTCTAGATCATAGGAAGTTTGGAATATTTAACACAAGTTTAAGTTGTGCAATTTATCCATAAGAATCCGCTATCTTCTAGCTTATCTTTTTATTCACAATATGACGGACATTGTAACCAATTTTCTATAACCGATATTTTTGGATTTTTTCGTGAAATTGAGAATTTATTATTTCTTTATATTTCTCTATAATTTTAATGTTCCTTTCTTCTTTCTTTTATGTCTTCTTAAATTACTTTTATTTTAGTAATTTTTTTTACTGCTTCCATTTTGCCTACAACTTCAAAGTTCCAACTTGCCCGTACTCTGGCATTAGAATGTAGTACATATGTAATCACAAATAAGACGTATTTTTTACTTTTTTAGGCAATCAAATCAAATAAACTTTATGTTTTTGTAATACTTTCCTGTCAAATTCGTGATCACATACTTCGTAGACTTTACTGGCTAATACAAATCAGACTAGATTTCGTTCGTAAATCGAACTTAGCTATGTGTCTCTGAGTGATATACACAGAAAAACTCTTTCCATCTTGACCTCCCTCTCCGTATGTAAAATAAAATAAATAAATAATTTAATATTAAATTATCATTTTACGTTTCCATAAAACAAAGATTTTGTATGTGAAAGTAGCTATATTAGTACTCTTATTTAAATAGACAATCAACACCTTAGTTTGATATGAACACGGAATCTGTAAAGGGAACATCACTTCCGAAAAGTCAATAAAGAAAAAAAATACGATAAAATAAAATATAAGAAATCAATATTTAGTCAGGAAAGTATATGCATAACAATTTTTAGGGTCAAGAAGTACGAAGAGTAGCATTCCTTGTAATTTGTCAAGGTGAAGAGCTAAGTACACGTGCTGAAAAAGTTTGTAATGGTTTTCGTGCCAAATTATATCCGATCCCAAAGAATAGTGCAGAACGAGAAGAACTTTTATATAAAGTAGGCATTGCGATCAATGATTTAGAGCAGGTGAGAATTTGAAAATTCCTTAAGATCAGCAATTCATATGGCTAGTGAATACTTCTATAAACAAAGATAAGCAGTTAAAATTGCAATATTAGGCATTATAACTATTTCTGGTTACGACTTCTATATATGTCTGTTGATAGAAAATAGATAAATAGATTATGTTATCTAAAAATGGGTAATGCATCTCTTGGCACAGATGTCAGCTTTAGCCTGGTCTGCTATTGTAGAAGATAGATACTACTTTCGCAAAAGGGGTGTTTTCGATTGAATATTATCTGTACTTTGTCTGACAAGGCCGTTGTGAATAGTAATTATTAGGGAGCTGATTTTTCTACATATTTCTATCTATTAGGGACTGTTCAGCTACAGGAGGAGGATATAATGGCTTATGATGACAAAATAATTTGTGTTACTTTTCAATAAAGATTTTTAAAGTTTGGGGACTTTTTTATGCCTGTAGTATCTTGATAATGATTTGTAATAGCGCTAGGAAATCTTTTCTTCTGAGTACCGAGCCGACGCCTTCAATCAAACAATAAATTGAAACGTTTTAATGGATATTTATAGACATAAGACATTATACAAAATGATTGTAGGTTGTGAAAAAAACCAAGTATCACAGGTGTAAAGCTCTTAGAGTGGTAGCAAAAGATTGGTCACGTTTTTCAATTAAAGTGAAAAAAGCTGCAGCGATTTACCACAATTTGAATCGATTTAATTTCGATGTAACTAAGAACTGTCTTATTGGCCGGTGCTGGGTGGCTGAAAAGGATTTGAATAAAATTCAAACCTGCTTGGACAAAAACACGGTCAGTTAAGTAATATAACTACGGTATTTCTTTCTACAAATTGATACGCAATGCCAATGCTACGCATGTTTTAATGGTAAGATTAGTAATAAGCACTCATTTAGCATTTAATTCTGATAGAAAAATTTTTGCTTGTCCGAATATTTTTACCGTTTTTATCCATCACTAAAGTAAAATAGAAGTTATTGATTTGTTTTAAATTAAAATTATAAAAAAAATACTACTATTTGTTTTTATTTAGAAACAAGCTGGTACTAATATTCCTTCATTTATGACCAAGAGGGAAACCACAGATATGCCGCCGACTTACTTCAGATTAAATAAATTCACAGCTGGGTTTCAAAATTTGATTAACGCCTACGGTGCAGCGACGTATAAAGAATTAAATCCAGGTATAAAAAGAGCGCACGAAGTTGTTTATTACATTAATGTCTGTTCTTTTTGCATCTTTATGGAGTGACTAAACTGCTTACTTAATTTCTACTCAAGTTTATTTTATGCCGGAAATTCAGTGTTTTTTAAATCGCGAAGAATACTAAATAAAGTTAGTTAATTGATTTTACAGTTCTCAACGTCCCGGAACGTATATATATACATTAAGTTATCTCAAATGATACATTTTTTTCTTAAGACATTCAGTTACTTACATTGTTTATCATTACTATTGATATTAGAAAAAAATATATTAGAAAAGAGATATTTTTATATATATTTTTTTCTATCTATATTCTCATTGAAAGAAATTCAGTCAACAAAAATGTCAAACGCACAGTGTGTGTAAGGTTTTCTCTATTAATATTATATATTTTGCTTCATTATTTCCCTAATTTTTGGTAAAAAATGTCCCAAGTTTTTACTTTGCGTATATATGAATGTTACAGAAGACAAGCTTCCGCAGCGAAGTCGCTGGGCGAAGCCTAGGGAGTTATTTAGTGGCATAAAAAGTAGCCTATATGTTAATCCAGACATTTACCAAAGTTGATCATAATCCGTTCAGTAGTTTTTGCGTGAAACAGTGACAGACATACATCCATTCATACATACATCTGTCCTCACAAACTTTCACATTTATAATATCAGTAGGATACAATAAATATTCATAAAATGTCATCAAAATCATCATCAGTATTAATTTCTCACTGCTGGGGCATAGACCTTCCCTATCAATGGTAAATGAGTTATAATGGTGATTGTTGGGTATTGACAACTGTAGATGCTGTAAGGGCCAGTCTTATCATACCTTCTGAAGCACAAAGGAGTTGATTTAAATATAGCGTTATATATTATAACCGATAATATGTGAGGTTACTGATAGAAAATACCTTTCTGCAATCAACAGAGAATTCTACCGTGATTACAAAAAAACATGTGATTGAATATTATTTAATTGAATGAATACAAAATATTCCTGACAAGACCAACACGTTATCTTACCTTTAAATTAAATCAAAATTTAAACATACTTAATACCTGCGAAAACGTTGTCTGCCATATTTATTTCCTCATCTGGATATTGTACATATTGGAAGATGTCAAACGGATAAGAACAGTGCCATCTAACGATTTTGTTACAAAATAAAAATAACGAATAAGGTAAGAACAGCGCCTTGTAGGAATCTGTTTTGTTGTAAATAAAAAGGCTGCTGTTTATAAGTACTTTGACAGATGCAGAATATTTTCTAACGAAGTGACGTCACACTATCAGTAACTTGTCGAACTTACATTAAAACCTCGACTTTTAATATTATTATGTTTAGATTATCATACAATTTTATGACTCACAATTCGATTATCTATGATTAATTCAATGTTAGTTTTACTTTTTATGCAAATGCATGTCTTATCTATAAAAAATAATCAAAATTACTCTAATTAGAACTTAATTGCCATTAAACTAAGAATTATATTTGATTGATGAGGATTTTTGTATTAATCAGTCGTATTGTTGATTATAAATTTAAATGTTGAATATTATATGTTCCCCAGGTATATACACTATAATAACATTCCCTTTTTTATTTGCTTTGATGTTTGGAGATTTGGGACATGGAATATTATTGGTTGCATTTAGTTCATGGATGATACACGGAGAAAAAGACTTCATAAAACAAAAATCAACTAATGAGATATGGAATATAATGTTTGGCGGTAAGTCTGATTTATACAATGAAAGTAAAGAGCTACAGTTATTTTTAAATCTTGAAAGATGAGAAAAGGGTCTACCGGCGTCTGTAGTACATAGTAAAATTATTACCTAATATATCAATTAGTAAAATGGAAACACCAGTAAAGTTCCGATTATAATGATTTCTCTTATTTTAATTTTTGCACCATTATTTTATTTTTTATACAATCTCAAAATATTGTAAAACAAACTCAAAAATTTTTGGAAATTTCGTATGATTTAAGAAAAATTAATGAACTTATTAAAATTTTAAGCGCATAGTTGAGAACTCAAAATATTTGTGAAATATTAACTAGAAATATTTGAGATTTAATATTAGGTTCGAATTTTTTTTTAAGTTGATGTTAGATACGTGGCATCTTAAATCTTCACCCATAAAATTTTTATTTAAATAGCTAAGTTAGTTATTGCGAAAGGTTATTCCACCCGAGAAAGGTTTTTTTTATATTTATCTATAAGATATATTGTGTATGTTATGTGCTGATAATTATTTCTTTTTTTTACAGGCCGATATGTTATATTACTTTTAGGTCTGTTCTCTATGTACACCGGTTTCCTTTACAATGATTTATTTGGAAGAGTAATGAATTTTCCTGGGTCTTGGCTGTCTTTTGTAATGACTAGTAAAATGTCGGATGACGAGGTGGCCGGCAAAGAAACTTTAGAATTAAACCCTAAGAATAGTCGACCATACATATGGGGGAACGATCCTGTGTGGGCGGTAATATTTTTGAATATGTAGACAATTTTTAAAGCTATTATATCATACTGAGAGGATCCAGGCAGGTCCATATAGGCAATCTATGCAACTGCCTATGGCGCTTGTGTTTGGAGACGCATGGCGTTTTTTCTTCGATTGTTCTTTGGACATGAGTCCACGTCCGTGTTATTCAATGAGTACTACAAATTACTACCAGTAGTGCTTAAGGAGTTTCTCTTGTCATTGGCAAAATTAATATTTTATTTTGTTGTGATATTTTTATGGTATAGCACTGGAACGACAGTGTTTTTCCTACAGTGTCAATTTCCATTGAACCAGTGCTGAGAGGAATGAATTACTTTCATATTTAGAATAAATGCAAAGATTCTAAAAGAATCTCGCGAAGGTGTGCATTGTGTTAGTACGTTAGTATTTTGTCGAGTGTGTAAGGTTAAGTATGTGATCATACGATGAAAGATCCATTGCGTATTATTCTAGATTTTTTGTCGACTTTGCAGAATGTCTTACCATATATTTATCAGTTCTGACATCCAGTACCCGAAAATTACGCGACTAATTTTTATATAGGTATAACAGATAGGTCCTATGTCTCAGTCCTCAGCAATGTAAATGTAAAATAATAAGTTGATTTGTGTTTGATTATAAGGATATATTCTAACAACATTTCACATTGATTATCTTTGAATTTAATTCCTGAATTCATTTAAGATATTCCAATTTTTTTTTTTTACATTCTGATAAAACAAGGTATACTGCTACACTTCTCACATCCATTACTAGTCTATACTAATTCAGTATCGAAACTAAGAAATATAATATGTAATTATTCGAATTTTGTAAGTGTATTGCTTTAGTTTATTTTTCTCAGATTATCTCACTAATTATGAGACCGGGCGTGAATAAATAGCTACACGACACAATGTCAAAAGTCAAAAATAGGTAAATTTTTAATTTCGATTGATTAAAATTATGTTGTCTACCATAGATTCTCAAAGAAAATATAAGGACTTATACTAAGAACTTTTGTTAATAGTCTCACAGGCACGAAAGGGACTATATCGTAGCGCTAACCAAAATTGAATCTCTATATGGGTACTATTATCTATGTATATATTACATATCTGAAGAAATTTATATCGCGTTTCGTAGCTTGCGAAACTTCAGAACTAACAAAGTATGATATATCATTGAAGCTTACACACTCGACGGCATCAATACTACTAACCTGTCTAGTTTGTCCGATCAGTCTGGCCTGTTTGGTCTGTCTGATGACAGGTAGGTTACAAGATAACAAACACTTATTGGTATACAATATATAAATGTTTTATATAAATTGACTGGTGTAAAAGTTTGAATATATCGAAATCGATATGTAAGCTTGTATACTACTTATATATATATTCAGTTATTTTAATACTACAATATAAGTGCTACAGTTAAGTTAATGTGCTATTTGGGTGAAAGGATCATGTAAATTTCTTATTGTTTTTATCTATTTCAGCTTAGTACTAACAAAGTTATGGTACAGAATTCAATAAAAATGAAATTGTCTATTATTATTGGAATAATTCACATGCAGTTTGGTGTTATGCTCAGCCTTTTCAATCACCTGTAAGTCGATTTATACTACATATATATTTTTTGTCAAAACCCAAATATTAATTGTAATTATATTGTAAAATCTGATTTTAATTAGAACTCAGTTAACTTACTCTGTAATAAGATAAGATATCTGTATTTTTTTGTGTATGAACATTTGTGCATAATGAGCAAATGCTTTTTATATCCACATAATTCAAGATAGCGTCTCAAGTAAATACAATATGTCAGTTTGTCAAAAAATACTTTGTTGTTTTTCAGGTACTTTAAAAATTATTATAAAATATTCCTTCAATTTATACCGCAAATATTAATATTGTCTTGTTTGTTCGCGTGGTTGGTTTGTTTAATTTATATGAAATGGTTTTTATACATGGAGAATTCAGGTAACTGAAATTGATTTCCGATAACTGTTTTACAATTACTAAAAACATATGCTAAAAGCACTTTGCGGTCGAGGAGAGGTAGTGACATTGTGGAGTAGCACTAGCATGTTATAAGGTTATGTGTATACATGACATTTAAAATTAATCGTAGCAAAGATTTCTATGTATACCATACGCAATGCTAGTGCGCTTTGGTGTGGGATACTTCAGAGACAAAAGTAACAATTTTTATTAGGTATTACCATCTATATTACCTTCGAGTAACTTTACATGCTAATTTAAATAAGTAATCAAATGTAACATATACTCCCAACTCTGGAAAAGATACAGTAGTTTTAACGTTGAATGTCTTATAAAAATTGTATCTTGATAATATTAGTTTATAATTATTTCTTGTTGTCATCCTAAAGGACCACCCTCCCCAGGGGGAAGTAAGCGGTGAATCCTTTATAAGATGCCATTATGACAACATTATGTAAAATTACTGACTAAGCACACGGTTCCTATAGAAACTTTAGAAACGCTATGCCTGCTTTGTCCATTGATTGCACCTTAGTGCCATTTTGTAATAGTTTAAAGTTATCTCTAAATTATCGTCGTCTCTGTAATATAAACAAGATGAGATCGATGTAGCTTAACAACTACTATTATTAATTTATGGCAATATCACATTGTTATTATGATTTTAAAATGAATGTTGCTGTTCCAGAAAATCGTCATGGAGGTTGTGCACCCCAGCTTCTAATACTTTTTATCGACATGTTTCTTCTGTCCGAAACTAAACCAGTGGGAGATGGTTGTGATGCCTACATGTTCCCAGGACAAAGAATAGTTCAAACTTTATTATTATTGATCGCGCTCTTATGCATACCCGTTTTGTTATTTGGAACCCCGGTCTATCTAATGATGTATCATAATAAAAAGAAAAAACAGTTAATGGTAAGATAATTCTAACAAACTGAATTAGGCGAACGTTATTGTTGATAGATGTTATGTATTAATAGGTATTCAAACAGTAGGTAGTAGCAGTAGGTACAATATAATAAATAGACTTTGTCATTACTGTAAAAGCTCAAGGAAAAGGTCATAAACAACTCGAATGATTAATTAATCGGAAGATTTATAACATGTGCAGCCGGGATCTGAAAATGTTTACCAGCTTATGGTTTATATGTGATTTAATCGGTTTGATCCTATCAAACAATACATCTTTTATCGGTGATCCAACGATCCACGATTCAGGGTAATGGATCATGAATTGCGATTCGAAAACAAATATTTTTGCACCTTGACAAGCTTGCTCTTGCCGCGCGCGATTGGAGCGCGTCGAATCGTTTAGCACCAGCTATTTCTCTTTCCACAAAATCAAATAACTTGAGGACTGCATTGTGCAAATAGTTTCAAATGCTTCAATTGCTTTATGCTTCTTTATCGTATCGAAATCTTTTATAGTAAACGAGGTAACGCTGAACGCAGATATGTTGTTACTTTGCAACCATTCATTTAATTTACTAGCCTTTGAGATCAAACTAACGAGCAATGTGTAACATATGAAAGTTTCATAAGTGCAGATGTGATCGAATTACCTATGCGCATTCTCCTGTACTACAGTTTTAAGCTAATTAAAAATGTGCCGGTGAGCATCTACGTAATTAAAAAAAGACAGATTTCGCTTACATATTTGTTGAAATAAAGTATATCTGTAATATTTTTTTGTTGAAACCGCAAAAGAAATACATAATATGTGAAAATTTCAACTGAATAACTTTCACGGTTCACGAGAAGCCTGGTGACAGACAGACAGACAGAGAAGTCTTGAGAATAGGGTTCTCGTTTTACCCTTTAGACACGACGCCCTAAGAAAGAGAAAAGAGTTTTAAAGGCTCGTCTGAGAGGCATGCCTGCGGTTTCATCTTTCCAGTTTAGAGCACTACAAAACAATTATCTATTTGTACTATGATAATATGCTTTTTACACGAGTGCCCATGTGTGTGTGTGGTTTTCTTCATTCCCCCATAACTTTTGAAAATATTAATGGAAATGAATATATAGGTTATTATTAGAAATGTTACAGTATCCTGAGCCGAGTGATGCTGGCTTTATATAAAAAATATATTCAATACGGCGGATGTATGATACTTCATTCACTTTTTAATCGTGAAACATGAAACTGGACCTTGTTTTATTTCTGTAGGAAATAAATTATGTCGATGTGTCATAAAATAACTCTGGAACAATTATGGAACATCTCTTTTAATAAAAAAATTGGTCAATTACAGAAGAGGATTGGCACTTTTCGAAAATATCAACGAAGCAGTTTGAATAAAGAAGATGAGAAGTTACAAGCGCAGGTGAAGATGCACTCGATTTCGTTCGGCGAATTGATGATTCACCAAGCAATTGAGACTATAGAATATGTGTTGAGCACCGTATCCCATACAGCTTCATATCTTCGGCTTTGGGCATTGTCATTGGCGCATGCATGTAACTATTTATTGTTATACATGACAACCGATAAGTGCTTTATTTTTCGATAAATCTAGAGATATACAGCTTTATCGCGTAATTTTTAAACCTTATTAATGTGTCAAAATGAAGTCCTGATAAATATATAAGGCTGACAGAGCAACTGTCACTGCTTCATTTTGTCGTTTGAATGTAAAGTTAATATAGACTAATATTATAGAGAAACAAGATGTTATTGTTTGATGGTTTGTTTCTTTACATTGAATAGGCTACGAAACTACAGGACTGATTTAAGAAATCTTCTTTAAATAATCAAAATCTACATTAGCTTGTGTAAATTATAATAGAAAGGTGAATGACTGAAAGAAAAAGGGGGTATCATAAGATGAAGAGACACTTGGAAAATTCTGGTTGGACAAGCAAATCAGGAAAGAAAACTGCTATTAATAAACTATAATTACCTATATACTTTGTATTTCAGCTTTATCAGAAATGTTATGGGACATGGTTTTAGAAAAAATAGCTTTAAAAGATCGCAGTTTCATTGGATGTATTAAACTGGTAGTGATATTTGCGGTCTGGGCATTCTTCACTATATGCATTCTGGTGGTAATGGAAGGATTGTCAGCGTTTCTGCATACGTTAAGGTTACATTGGTTAGTCGATAAAATAAACAATATTGAAAATATTTATGATTAGTTATTCCTCTTCGTAATAAAAACAAAAGTAGTTTTATTTTTAGTGTGATATTAGTGATTATTTTGCTAATTTCACATCTTTCCTCTAGTTCTATTATTCAAAATTTATACTTCTCACGCAGTTTATATAGAGGTATATCAATTAGGTATATGTTTATGTTTTAGGGTTGAATTCATGACAAAATTTTTCGAAGGCGGTGGATGGCTCTTTCAGCCGTTCAGTTTTAAAACCGTTTTGTCTGATGAATCTAAACCAGTGGTTGGAGAAAGAAAACGCAAATCTTAACCTCAAGATCAGTCCTTCTGTATCTATTTAAAGAAACGTATATATAACGCGCGGTACGCGATTTGAACCAAAATGGCGATTTCCCGATTAGATTCCGGTGGCTAATTTTCTAATATTAACATCTACCGTATCCCTTTCTGACATTTGAAAAATATTCACGAACTTCACGCTATAACTATTTGCCATATTATATCGATAAGAGAAAGGAATTGCGATAGATATTGGTATTAACCAATTAGCCCACCGGTCTCCGTACACTGCGTTGTTATGGTTACGCCGCGTCTCACCCCACACCTCGATTGAGACCCGAAAATGTGCTACATTTTGATTCAACTTTCGTTACGCGCATTATACTTCGAAGTGCCTTTGTAATTAAGACAAGAAAGGCACTTTTATTTCAATTGACAACAAGTGTAATTTATATTTTAAATAAACTACTGTTGAACGCGACGTTGTTTTTATATCTAAGTATATTAGTTTTTTTTTTTCCAGGAAAAGTAATTTAACCAGACTAGAATGCATGCAATTAATATTAACAGTGCATACATTGTATTGTATGATTAGCATAATCTATACGAATATTATACAGATACTATGTTTGCCTTCAATAGGCCGATTTCAAAAATTATTTCACCTATGCCACATCATATGCGGGAAACATTGGCTATTATTTACGCGATCGCGTAGCGGCTGCTGCTTACTATATGGTGTACTGAATACTTAGAATATATTTAGCAAAAAAATAACGTTATTATTTTTTGTTTAATATCTATACTAGTTTACATAAATTTAGCCGCTAATGAAAAAAGTGGCCACCCCGAAAGTTTTGGCAATGCACATACGTATGAGATAATGAGCGGGTCAAGAATGCAAAAATCTACTAAAATATATGCTACTAGCTGTGCCTGCGACTTCGTCCGGGTGTCCGTCTGTAGCCTAAGTTACTACTTATTACATAAGGTTTCAACATAAATTATCTGCCAGAGAAAGTCGCGTCAAAATCGGTTCAGCCACTTTAGAGATTAACCGGAATAAACAGACAGGCAGACAAAAAAATGTAATAAATGATATTGTGGTATATTTACCGTGTATAACATACATATGTGTTTAGTAAGAAACGATTAATTTAATATTACCAAAGACACCCCAAATTTATTTGTATAGGTATGGCAAAACCATAAAATTTTTGGATTCTTGGACTAATCTATCGACGTATTGGCTTATTTGGCTGCATTTTTGTTAATTTTCAGCTGGAGACGATGGTCACAGCCTGGACCGTTACACGTAACACAATAAATAACTGACTTTAGTTTTTTATTAAAAATACATTAAAATTTAATTACATTTTATATTGGAATACGTTGAAATAAATAAGAGCATACATTATTTTCCTAGTTCAAAGTATAAATCCGCGACCAACACTTAGGCAATAAAGTTTTATGTTATAATGTAAAACTTAAGCAATAAAATCCACGCATATTTCACGATAAGCGGTAATTTCAAAGTGGAAAGTGTACTGGCGGAACAAATAACTGAACAGTCTGGTTAGGTACCTGTTGCTTGAGAATATTAGTTTAATAGAATAAGAAAGGTAATAATTTTTGTGCCTACTGTGAACAGTCAGAGAACTGGAGTTTTCTTTTATGTACCGGTATCAGAAAAACATTGACAGACATTTTACTATCTTAACAAATATCTCATACAAGTAAGGCAGAAAACAAACTATGAAATAATATTGAGTAGAAGACTGTTTCTTGAAAAAAAATTCTTTAATGGTATTTTTACCATCGTGAATGCTAAATTACTCGTAATATAATAAAAAAAAACAATGTGTGTAATGTGTAAACGAACGTTTTATGTAAAATGAGATTAAGTTCAAACTCCTTATTTACTTCAGTTTTATCTGTATTCTTTTTAATTACGATTGACTGTGATTTTTGCGTGAAATGGTCAACTATGACGTTCTTGATCAGAGTCAAAAATATATTTATAATTTTAACTTATTGAATAGCGTACTTAACTATTGGCATATTTCGAAGTGGCTTCGCTTTTTTTTAAACCGTTACTCGTTTTAATTGATACCCAAACTTGCAGAGAAGGATTTTCAGAAAATGCGCGATGGCAATGTTTTGCCGTCCTGGATTGAGCTACCGGTTTAAAAAATGAAATCAACAAATAGAAATTTATCTCTTAAAAAATAGTTGTATAGTTTTTAGTGTCCTCTTAAATTTGAAATATAATTGGTTATGTTTTTTTATTATAAATCAAATAACTTTGAAATTATCTTTCAGTTTATTGTGAATATCTCCTATCTATGATAATATAGTATTACTTCATAAGGAATAAAGATTTCATAATTTTGAGACACAAATATCCTATTTTAATGAAAATGATAAATATTACTTCTAAATTACTACAAAATTTGTTGCGAGTTTTTTTTTCGTATTTGCAATAGATCTCTTTAATCTGAAACCTGAATATCGAGTTGAGCTTAGTCATTTAGAATCGACGCATACCGGTGAGTTTGTTTGACCATATCCGGTGAGTTTGTCTCGTCTAGGGGAATCGAGAAAACCATTATCAGCTTTCATAGCAATAGTTTGTGGATTCATTATGAGGTTGAATACGCGAAGGCCGATAGTAGGTCTTTAATTCACTCTCATATTGAACTAGAACGCATTGCTTAGAGGAGACAGGCTTTGCACTAACGTTGCTAGCACATCTCGTATAAAGTAAATGTGCAGAAAATTAACATTGACACATTTCGATTCTGCATTCCAATTTCAAATGAGAGAGTGATCGAACAAAGTTACCATCGTCGGAATTAAATTCTTTTGCTGAAAAAATATTCTTCTATTGTACAGCCAACATCACGCCAGGTTATATAAATCTGTCAAATATTTTAATTATTTATAATTAAAAATTAATACTTATACTCCATTGATTATAACATTAGAAAAAAGAGGGCCATAGAAGCAGCAGTGCAGAACATTTTATTTTCAAGATAAATTTAAAAAAAATATATTAGTTTTGTTGAAACTTTGAACGTTAGATAGTCTGAAGAGCTGGGCAATTTTCCATTTTTTATGATACCTCAGGGTTGAGATGAGGCCAGCATTTTATAGATTCATCTTTCAGTCCCAAGCCAACATGGAACTAAAACTGAAACTATCTGTCTGTTGTTTAGATAAATTCTAATTGTAAGTGTAATTAGGTAGACTATTGATGAAAACATTGAATAAACTCCCTGAAATGTCAAAGGTCCCTGAAATGGGGGCTTAGAGCGTAATTTTTGTAGGCCACTCGGGCCTGCACCGGCATCGTCCATATTTACCAAAACTTAACAACAAAAATAAAATAACAAGAAAGGCAGTAGCATTCACAATGGATGACAATCCCAGATTACGATTTTAACAATTATGGATAAATAATAGTCTGACAAAATTAAAAAGTTTTACTACTGAAACGTTGAAAGGGGTTAGGCAACGTTTTACATTTGGTAGAAGAATCGTGCCGAAAACTATCCAACCCTGCTTCTTTAGGTTCTTTACGATGAACACTTTTTATTGTAATAGTTATTAAATCATTTAAGTCATATACTCATAAATTTGTTTAATAGATAGCTTAAGTGACAACAGTAAAGTATAGCAGCTGGCATTTAAGTGGATATGTAGCAATTTTTATCAGATGGTTCAAGCAGTTTTCATCTGATGATTTGTAAGCTGCTATTATATTCACAATAAAATAATCTACGTAACACTGTTCTTCGTATGTTAGACTAAAGCTTGGAGATTGGTATTACAAAAAATGACGTTTCTTTGTCAGTAATTTTAGACAATTAATTCCAGTTTAACTACATACACTTTTAAATTGCGATTTAAATCAAGAAATTAATTAAAACATAATTATAACAGCTAAATTTGTACATCAGGATAACATATATAATTACTCTGGAACTGATTTGACATGATTTACTTTACACATCGGTACAAATAAAATTAATATGATAGGTAATTAATTTTTTTTTTCAACATTTTATTTCACCACTATAAGATTCTTAGTTTTTAGAAGTATAGTAGCGTAATCTAGTTGATCAGTAGCATCAGCTAAATGTTTAAGCTAAATGTTGTAACAGTTTCGTGCACTTAACCAATATAACATATACATTTAATATAAGTGACAACGATTATACCGATTTCAATTATTCATGCGTAAACAGCTTAAATCATTTAATAATAGATTTAGAAAAGGAGGACTTGGAATATAATTACAATGACAAATTGTAAACGATATACGTACTTATACTTCCATTTTTATCCCCTATGTGTTATTTCGGGATATGATATAAGATAGACAGATGCTGTCACGAATTTTCTTTTAGAACTTTGAAAGTTATCCATTTCATAATACATGATTTTTGCGCATCTTTAACCGTTTACGCAGCGCACGCAAAGGAAGCTCTCAAAAAGTAAAAAATTCACTCGGTCTTGTAACATTTTTAATTTTTGCCCCTCTCTTATTAGTCATAGCGTGATTTAGATAGCTTATAGCCTTCCTCGATAAATGGATTATTCAATACAAAAAAAATCATAAGATTATAGAGTTCGGTCAATCAAACATACTCTTCAGCTTTATTATTAGTATAGAGTATAGATTTTAGTATAGAAGAAGAATAGCTAAAGGCCTCGTAATATCTGAGACTACGAAGGCACCATAAAACCCATAAATACTAGTAAGGATCACCATCGGGCGAAATATGGATTGGTGGGTGGGGTGGCTGCAGATGCATCTGGGACTAACAAGCGTTACGTGGCTTCCGATGTAAGGTGGAGCTAGAGACAGTAAATTTTTCATCACCCATCCTATGATCGGCTATTGCATTTCGAACTGAACGCGATAACCTGTGCCATCCAGTTCCTCAACCACTTTAACTATCTGTGATCTTAGAAAAACCATCTAACTTCTCATGAACTCAAAATTAGCTGTAACTCAAAATTAAGAAACTACGCTGTATTTTAAATGGGTTCCCCCTAAAATAAATTTTTGCAGGTCTTGTAAATATACCTTTTTATTGGAAAATGTGAGCCACTTTACAGTCGAGAACTTAATACAGCGCTTATACGATAGCAGACAGAGGGCCTTATGGCTTTGCACCACTAAATTTTGGATTTATATATTTATAGAGCATTTTTCTATGAGGTAAATATCAAAATCCCGTTTTTTTGGTATTTTATCATCTATTCCATATCGGAAAATATGTACAATACATTTGAAAATCAAAGTTTATTTTCTGGTACATGGAAATGAAAAAACAGAGACAAAATAATAAAAAAAAAATATATTAACAAAATTAAAATACCATTCTTGGTGTTTAAAAGTCGATATTATGTAACGTTTAATTATGAAGAAGCAAGTTTGCTTCGAATAGGCTCCAATACTACTGGACTGATTTTATTTATTTTTTTAATTACGAGAATTCAAACGTGACTGACATAGGCTATAATTTACGCGAGCTAAGTTGCGGAGAAAACAACTAATTACTTTATAAAAATATACAAGTAATTCTCTAGATACTCCTATTATTATAGGTGATTGTTTTATAACAAATTAGGACCCAGTATTTTTCTATATTAAACTAATGCCCGTTTTCGCAAAATTTAGGAGTCGCCCAAATCTGACACCTAAAAATTCGGGCATTGTCAAAGGCGAAATGCGTTTCACCAATGACATTAAGCGACGCTTAAAGTTAGGACATATATTGTGTGGTGCCTTGCGCTGGGCATTTCGTAATGTGAGAAATATATTTACTCTTTGGCCAGAGCGGATGTTTCAAGGGATAAAATGAATTTAGTAAGTTGTTATCAAGGAGTTATTATAAGAATTAAGATATAAATAATGAGAATTTTTTGAGTTTTCGGACTTATAAATGGACAATGACATCTTGTGTTCTTCTCGTATTAATACACGATATTTTTTCTTGTTTCAAAGTATATATTTTTGTAATTGTCTCTTTACGTGTAAAGGCGACTAAAATGACATTGGCAATTGGAACTGTGTAAATGCATATAGGTTTAAATATATTTAATAAAAGAAGAAGAACTGAAGCATGCAAAATCATAGACAAGCATTGCCTATTTAAGCAAATGCTTAGTAAGGCATTACGTAACGTTACAGACAAATCTGCTTTTGCTATTCTTAATATTAAGTGATTTCTAGTTAAGCTATTTCTTCTTCTAGGTTAATGAGAACGGGCATAACTTAATGAAACTTATTGTTTTAGGATTAAGAATAGTCAATCCAATAAGTATTCATCGACAAGTGGTTTACACACAGGATTCAAACTGTAGTTTTAACAGGTACATTCTGTATAACATGAGCTTGAACGAGTCCCACCATCAAACTGTGGTTGGCATATCGCTAGTTATATTCTTCAAAGACCTGAGACCTTCAATTAAACATATAATTATGTTTAATTGACACAGGTATGGACGATACGGGGACGTCACGAAACGCATAATAAATTCAGGCTTCGTAAACATTATTTAGTGTGGACTAGGGAATTATTTTGCAGTATGGACTGAACGATAAAAAGCATATTTCGGAATATTTCCATAACTGTTTGCTGAAAAACCGTTTTAACCGGTAATTGATGTAATAGACAAAGCCAAATATTAATTAATCATCTGTTTATATATACGCTAGCTAACCAGCAAATTACACTTAAGTATGACATAACTTCTCGTAGGGAAAAGAATTTTCATGGTGGAATCAGTATTTCCGAAGTACCCGAAGTACTACCCTCTATAAATAAACTAATAAAGTTAGAAACTTTATTCATTTATAATATTAGTATTTAAATATTAATTAATTTTATATGTATATATTATAATTGAATATTGAAAATATTTATAATTAAATACAAAAAAGTCGCCTGTAGCGCTGTTTTTTTTTCTCGTCCCATCCGAGAGTAAACGAGCTGTAGTCTACCTAATCTACTTCAAACTTTAAAAGTAGTAGTTTTCTGGCTAACTGCTGTACTCTTTCCAGATACCACAGATTTTTTACTGATAATTGACTTCGTGTCAGCGTTTTCTTCATTAGGTTCGTCCAGACTCTCGATCGATATAGCTGGGGTCAATGTAATATTTTTGTCTTGAAACTTATTTTCACGTGGTAAGTAGATTCCAAAGCGGTCCTATAATAACAACAAAAAAATAATGGGTATAAGCTGAGTGAGAGGCATACATCCACAATAATGTGGTCTCCACAGTGGGGCAAGTTTGGGCGCTTACCATATCCTGATCCCTGACTTGAAGCTAAATATAAAGTACATAACGGAATTAAATATTATATTATTCAATAAAAACTGAAATTCTCACTAGATTTTGCTATAACGACTATTTATTACTGAATTATTATAAAAATTTATTATTAATATTTATTTAACCACTAACTTTTAACTAGTTTTGAACAAAGAAATAATGCATTTTTCATCAAGGATACCCATCAGTACTGATGAATTTCTCAGACTGATTCTGTTACTTTCTCTATTTGTACAAACGTCTGATATTGAATAAAAATTTTGGCAAAATTATTATTCAATATCAGAATAACATCATGTAACTGTGAGTGATTTTTGAAAGTCACTTTCCTGAATTTAGTTCTTAGATTACATAATTTCATTAATATATTTTGAGTTAAGCACACATGAAAAAAAGAAGCCTCAAATTATTTTAAACGTTATTATTTTGAAAGTATTTTTCACTTCAGGGATCATTTTGTATTCATTTTGCATTTGCATGTCAGGCAGTTTCTCCAATTCATTAGGAATATCCGAACAATACTCTTTAGTAGAGTCGTATTCATCATCAGGCTTTTTACATTCCCACTGAAGGGCTTCAGGCCTTCCTTATGTATGATTAAGGAGGATGGGTCATGACCCTCTACGCAGGCCCAACACGGACTGGAGGGTATTAATGACGCAAATGCAGCCGGGATCAATGGCTTAACGTGCCTTCCGAAGCACAAAATAGCTCGAGGTATAATTTTTAGTCACCCATCCCGTAACCGACCCTTGCAAAATTTGCTGAACAACAACGAACGCTGGTCACGGCACTTATCTTATCCAAATATGCGAAACAGACATTCAGAGTAGATTATAAATGTGATGTTAAAATACCTTAGGGTATCTATTGTAATGAAATTGCGGATGACAAACACATGGACGCTGAGGAGGAATCTTGTAGCTCTCATGAGATGATATTTCACTTTTTGGAGAAGGTGGAGTTTCGTAACCTGAACACATAGAAAAATAATACAGCATAAATTAGCGGTAATTAGTAATGCATAACAATTTCAAATAAATATTTGACGAATCGTAGTTACCTCTGAAATTGTGGAGCCTTCTCAGTGTCCTCTTCAGCTTTTTCCTCATTCGCTTCTCCCACGCTATCTCAGCGGCTGTGGCAAAAAGGAAATAATTATATAAAACACCTAAAATAACGTAATGCTAATATAGTCTTCATTAGCTAACCGGTGAACGGCTTCAGAATTAATAAAAGTATGGGCGCAAATAAAAAAATAATAGTCTGCTTGCATAAAGGTAACTGTCATAATCTAATCAACATTGTTGTTTGGTTTAATCCTAATATTTTTATGTTTCAAAAGCTACCAAAAAGATTCTTAAAGTTAAGGAAAATCACAATTTTTCTTACTATAAATGACTCTGGCTAATGAAAGAACTTATGAGTTATAAAACTATCCTAAGCACTGTCTCAAGATCTACTCTCCATGTGCCAAATTTCATTAAAATCGTTCAGTAGTTTAGGCGTCAAAACGTAACAGACACACAGACAGAGTTACATTCGCATTTATAATATTAATATAGATTTAGAAATCACTTACAGTTAAATATTGTGAAGCACTGTTCAATAATAAAAATAGCTAGTAATAAATATAATAATAATAAGAAAAACTCACCAATCCTCTCTTTTTCTAGAATTATAGTCTCGAAATCTTTGTAAGAGTTAAAAAACAGCTCCGCTATATCCTCCTTGATTTCAATAACAGGTATTTCCATAGCATCCTCTACTGCTTTCATGAGTTCGACGTATGCTGTGTCGTAACGCAAGGAGCTATCATCGACATGCAAGAATATTGCTTTGTCAACGGTATTTGAAACAACGGCGAACATTGTCTCCGATAGTGTAGGCTCTGGTGTAGGAATAGGCTCTGCAGAAAATAATTATTTGTTTTGAAAAAAACACATATTCACTAACAAAATTTCTATATAGCGAAATCAGTTTCGAATTCGCACTATCGGACTATATCTGTAGTTGTACGCTGTTTTCATATCACACATTTATACTAAGCCACTACCACTCCTATCTATAACCGAGAGAATGTGAGATATATCATTACTTAAACAGACATTTTTACCAAATAACCAAAAAATTGAATGAAGTAAGAAACTTAGGAGTCGTCCAAATCCGACGCCTAAATATTAAGCGATGCCTAAAAATTAAGCAATGCTTAGGCATTACTTAATTTCGTTGTAAATTAGTTATGACATTCGTTTTGCGGCGCCTTGCGCTTGACATTTTCGTATATGACAGGTTAAAATATGTCATATATGTATGTAAAAGAAAAAAATATTTATTTGGAATTAAACTAAACTGCTTAGGCAATTCGTTATTAGGCGTATCCTAGTTAAGCTATGCTTATTCTAGGTTAGTGAAAATGGATATATCTAAAAGGCGAACTTTCAACTGATTAATGCATCAATTCAAAGCTGATATATACATAATAAAGTTAACAGCACGTCAGGTTTTATAAATTAGTCATAGTTTATTTTAAACCTTAACACTTTGAGGAAAGAGTAAGTATTTAATAGTAATTGCTTTATAATTTGGACAATCACGAAGTACTTAATATAAATACTACTTACCTGGTGTTGGAAGAGTGGTATCTGAAGTAGCAAGGGATAGAAACGACGACGACATGGTGTTGGGAGTGCTGACTACTGGTGTAGGAATTCTCCACGGGTCTGAAGGATAGTGCTTCATCACTATATTCTTCAAATCATAAGTGAGATCCAAATCGTTGAACTTAAACTGTGGTTTGCTCTCCTGTATATTGGAGGGAGAAGAATAATTACACAGTTTTAGCTCTTCGTTTGTACTACTTCAGTAAGTATTAGTACATTAGTACATTTATAGATAAAACAATTGGTTTTTCACTGGTTTTCATGACACATGACGAGTAATGTTAAGACATAGCACATTAAATTACAAAAATTACGTAAATCAGAAAAAATACATATAATGTTGTCTCGTTCAGAAAGGTTATTAATATCTGCCTGCCGCTGGTTGCTAAGCAACGGTTTGTTAGTAAACATATTCATTGAATTTGGCTGTTGTATAATTTAAAATCTTAACACTAAATATAGACACAGTTATACTAATTGCTGGGTTACAGTGTGGACATCATACAATTCCACACTATGGCATCAAAATTACGGCTCAGCCTGCAAATACAAATGTATGTACTTACAGCGCAATATCACAATGGTACCTAACTACTAATAAAAATTCTCGACATGAAATATAATTCTGTTCCGAGATTCATAGTTTTTTTTTTTATTTAAATAATAATTATGATTCTTACTTGTTATGAGTATAGACTAACAGTCTTACGATCACATATCACACGGTGAGCACAGTATCATCACATTGTGCCTAACCCTTAAGCATTTCTATGTATTTACTGTACATCAGTACAGCGAAGAATCATCGCATGTGAAATTGGAAATTCGATAAACTTTTTTCTTTTTCTTTTATTAATAGCTTATCTGCGCATTTTGCACAGTTCTGCCAATGTCAAGTGAATAAATTAATTTCTACATGTAAAATGAAAATGAAATGATCGAAGAAAACTAAAATTGCGATAAAATATTATGTCATATTTATTTGTGGTATATTATTTTTCTCTTTGTTTATGAATTATTCTACTCTTTGGTTGTGTGCATAATAGGGTTTAAGAGTATTTTAGATACAAGGCACATTAAAAGAAAGCTCATTTTTATCAGCTCTTTTCCTATGCTGTATTTTATTATAAGCTAAGAATTTGGTACATTATTATAAGAAGCGTTATTACATTTACTTAAGTTTATTTTTTGTTTGTGACAGCTGTAATGGTCGTAGGTGACCATAATTTGTATGATTCCAATTAAATTTAGTAAAATATTTACGTATATTAGAAGTTGTTAAAATCGAATCAGTATCTGATTTTAGACAAACTACTTTCAGGTTGTGCGTTATCTTCCAAGTTCTATATTTTGTAGACCTAGAAATAAAATAATTAGGAGTTTTAATGCTATATTGTTTATAACTTTATTTAAATAATACTACTCAATTACATACAATTTCAAATTGTAAAATTGAAATAAGCTAGTTACAGAAAACTTTAAACATTGTTTTATTTCATAAAAAATGTAGGGCAATTAAAAAATCTCGCTGTTTTGTAACATAAAAGCTTAGCCGATCAGAAAATTAAATATACTATTAATATTATAAAAGAGAAAAAAATATATTGTTAGCTTTGAATGGGTCCAATAGGTTGAATAGGTTTCCCGGGGAATTTTCACAGCTACATCATATACGAGTGACAAAGGCTACTTTTCGCGAGAAAACATCAATAGTAAAATGAAAAGTGCACTCGAAAAACGGAAACTTATAGCATTAATTTGTATTTTATTTCTATAGAAAAGGTAAAAAACGTTCACATACAACATTCACATGGCTTTTACATGTGCAATATTAAAAACGTTTCCAGGAACCAACTCTCATTTACTCACAGCTACAGCAAATGAAAAGAAGAATTTTTTAATATTCTGCCCTTAACTCATAGTTTTATTTTCGTTAATACTACTACGTGTTAATCGACGTGTTTAAATTCATAAAATTTGTTGATCTTTATATACGCTTTCGTGATACATAACAATATTATATTTTCAATGTAGGCTATATTATAACCATGTAAATATTAAATTGATATGGAGCTCGAATGTATGGTAATTTGTTGAAGTTGCTATTGATAGCTATAAACTAATGTTTTATTGATAATTAGTTATAAGTAGTGTTGATAAATAATGCTTATTCTCTTATCAAAGCATTTGTTTCATGCTTATTTTTAAAAGTTTGTTATTAACCACAAATAAATGTTATTCTTTGTATCGGAAAAAAAGTTGTTTAAAATGGGTCAATTTATAACTTTCGGGTTATATACGTTCCTGACATCTGATTAAACAATTAAAATAGCACAGAAGTTTCCAGGTGAAGTGGTAATATACATTCAAACTTTGACAGTTATGGATATAGGATTCTATGTGTGGTTAGGGTTGTGAGGTTCACAAAAATATCGATATGTATAAATTTCAGTAGATAACAGTACATAGCTTCACAAAGTTGATATATCGATATATTACGATATATTACGTTATGTAAATCCAAAGTGTTGTTTAATAAACATTAAATTTATTTCTTTACCTGGATAAAAATCTTTTAATCGAAAACACCATATTAGAGTAAGACATTTTCATCAAATAGAGCATAAACAGTAATAACTTAACAAAAAGTCAGTGTTTTATAATTGTATTTGAACGCGACGGAGAACACAGTTTAGCCGTTCGCAAATTTCACTAATATTACATGTTCAGAAGATCAGCCGATCGATGTTAAAATTTATACAACTATTATTATTCTTTGTACAAATATATAAATATATATCGGCTTTGCGATGTGTCATTGCATCCCTACATGAATTATCTCTAGTTTTATTTTTACCTGTGTATAGGGCACGCCTGCTGGGATATGAAGTCTGTCTCTTATTTCCTTATCGAGGTCTTCAGGTGGTCGAGTGAAAAACAAGGCAACATCTTTAAGAATGTCCTTTCTCTTCCCAGCGCTCGTCAATGTTTTCACCGCATTCTCTAACATTGCTTTCACCTATGAAATTAAAAAAAATATGAAATAAAATTTGATCATCATCAGCCCTTTTACGTCCACACTGAAGGTGCTCTGGTCTTCCTTAGCACGTGCCTTCCATAGCACGGAATTATAATATTTTGGTCACCCATCCTGTGAGCGATCCTTGCGAAAGTTGCTTAACAACAACGCTTTGTTTGCTTGCAACAAATTGGCGAAACTACTGGACCTACGGGAAGCTACATCATATACGGTGAACATAGGCTATATGTTATATTTATCACGAAAAACAGCAAATAATTTTATATTATATAATATCTTGTAATTATATCCGTGTAACGATATGAATCGATATCCGAATTAATCCAAATTAATCCAACGGCTTCGCCCACGTGCTTCCTGGGGAACTGTCCCCAGGAAGCACGTGGGCGAAGCCGTTGGCGGAAAACTAGTTATAATTGTCCAATATTCTTTTACTGGTAATTAATTATCGGTGTCACGACACATTAAAATCCATTGGGTTTTTTATAACACCTCAGCGTACAGACAGAGGGAACCGACTTGGTTTTACTCTATGTATAGACAGAGAAAGATTTTTTTTGACAACCAGTCTGTAATAAGTTTTTTGGATTTCTTTGTTTAAAATTCAACTGAAAATTAGTCATCTTTCATCGGCTTAGAAGCCGTATCGTTAAAACTAATATAAGGGTTGGTGCATACTAACGAAAGATGCGTTGCGTCTTGTCGGTCGCAAAATATCAGACCGTTTGACTTCGCCGTAAATTTTAATCACTCGCGTATGATGTAGATGAAAGAATTTTCAAAATCGATCTATTAGATGGATTCAAAGAAACATAAAAATGTTTCCCATAAAAGTAATTAGTATAGGAAATTTGTAACCGTGAATACTCGACGGAAATTCCATCGCTTACTAACTCAATATTTTCGTGTTAGCTTGACAGACCTTCCATCAGATTTGCATATACCTATTTATAATAATAATGAATAAGTAAAATTTATGAATTGGATTGAGTATTAAAAATACTTAAAATAGGGGGGCACTTGTAGGTAAGGTATATCAAATATCTTTGTAACATAATAAATGTTAAGAAGTGAAGACTTCTTGGTAGTTTTTCGATCTCTTTAGTGTTTTGTACCTACTTGACGTGTCTGTCATTCCTGTTTGTATCTGTCTTTATGTTTTGCTATTATACTCGTATTTTATACTTCCAATCCGAGCTTTATCATTTCTTTAATATGGTAGCAGAGAATTTCAGAAGAAATTAAAGTGTCGGCAAGAATTTTAAGAGTTGTTTTGGTGGCTAAACCAATTGTTTAAAAAAAATTCGTGAAAACTTGGCCTGCAGAAATGTCAAACAAAATGGACCAATCTATAGCAGAGGTCTCCAAGGTTCGAATTGGGAACTTAGACTCTAAGAAATTCAATACGTGGAAGTTCAGAATTTTAATGGTACTAAAGGGGCTACAGGGTGCAAAGGAAATATTGGAAGGAATCAAACCGAGGCCAATATTATTGCCAGGTGCCACACCAGAAGATACTGCGAAGTACCAGAAAGAAGTACAAGAGTATGATAAACTAGACAGCATGATATCCATTCTGTTAATGTCTAACTTACCAGATGACATTTTAGAGAAAATAATGCGCTTTACCTATTCTAAGGACATGTGGGATGAGCTACACAGACTTTTCGGAGGGTGCACTGTTGACCAGAGCTACGAGCTGTGCCAGACTTTCTTTTCGTACAAAAGAGATGCCAAGCATGATATGGCGACGCATATTTCGACTTTAAAGAGTTATTGGCACCAGTTCAATCAGTCGCTGAATCTTGATAAGGAATTACCTGATATTCTATTGATATACAAGATTCTCGACACTCTACCGTCGGAATACCTAAACTTTAAATCAAGCTGGCTACTGATGACGAAGAATGAGCGCACAATTGAAAACCTGACGATACAGTTATGCTCACACGAGAAGATCCTTGCAAAAGAAGAGGCAAATAACTACGGTGAAGGCAGTAGTGGAGAAGCATTATTGGTAAAAACAGGCAAAAAGAATACAAAAAGCAAGATAGACAAGAGAAAATGCAATTACTGTGGAGAACTAGGGCACTTTGTGAGAAAATGCAAGAAGTGGATCAGTGATGGCAAACCGAAGAAGTCAGAGAACAAGACATCAGCTGTTAATATGACTATCTTGGCCATAACTGATAAAATTGTGAAAGACTCGACTAATTTTTACGTGGACAATGGGGCAACCAACCATGTAACAAATAGAGACGATTTTTTCGTAGATTTTAGCATTTTTAAAAGTAAGCATACAGTGACAGGAGCTAATGGCCAAGAGATCCAAGCCCTGGGGATCGGCACAATTAGAGCAGAAGCCGAAGTTGAAGGAGAACTACGACAAATCACATTGAAGAATGTCTGGTATGTCCCTTCTATCAGCAGAAATCTCTTTTCTGTGCTAGCTGCCCATGACAACTCAGATAATAGTACCTTTGAGTCAACTCCGACAACATGCGTTATGAAAGTCGATGGTGAGAAACGACTTGTTGGCACTAGAGAGAAAGGGGGCGATCTCTACTGTTTAAAAATGAGATGCCTGAAGCCATCAATGATAGTGAACCAATTGACTACCCCAAATTTACTTCAGCTGTATCATGAACGTTTAGGCCATCAAAATAAAACGCACGTCAAGAAATTTTTAGAGAAAGAGCTCAATATTAAAACGGAAGCAAATCACGAGCTTTGTGAAGGCTGTATTTACGGTAAGTCTCATCGCTTGAAGTTCGGAACCAGAGAAAAGGCGACTCGACCTGGGGAACTGATTTGTACAGACGTTTGTGGACCTTTCCCTGTATCTTTTGCGAAGAATCGTTATTTCGTGCTTTTCAAGGATGTCTATACTGGATACCGTTGGGTATATGTAATGCATGAAAAGTCAGAAGTCTATCAAAAATTATCACTAATGCTAGCTGAAGTCGAAACAGCTGGTGTGAAGGTGAAAGAAATTTTAAGCGACAACGGAGGAGAGTTTGATAATAGCAAAGTTCGGACTATTTTAGAGAAGAAAGGCATCAAACAAAGATTTACGACGCCTTATACACCGCAACAAAATCCCACTGAAAGAGAAAATAGAACAGTTGTGGAGATGGCAAGAGCCATGATGTACGCTCATGAGGAATTACCAGCAAGCTTATGGGCGGAACTGATTCTAACATCTGTATATATTTTGAACAGAACGGGTCCGGGTCACAACGGGAAATCGCCGTATGAATCATGGCATGGCAAAAAGCCAAGAGTAAGCCATTTAAGAGTGATTGGAACAACCTGTTATCCTCATATTGCAAAAGAAAAACGTCGAAAATTGGACAAAAAGGCTCAGAAAGGGATCCTAATTGGATATGACGGTGACGAAAGTTATCGCATTTGGGACAGTGACAATTTTAAATTGATAAGGTCACGAGATGTTATATTCGAGGAATACCCCTTGCTCAGAGAAGTTGAATGTTTGGAAGAGGACAAACCAGAGGCCAAATGTCTGCCTGAGCACAAATCTGTAATTTTTCCAGATGACTGCAAGCAAACACAACAAGATTTAAATCTTGAGTTTCTAGGAATTAAGTATGGAACTTGTGAAGATATTGCTAACAGTAGAGCTTATGACGAACCTGAAATTGAAGAACAGTTAGAAGTTTTAGTGAACGACGAAAACAATAGCGATAATCAAATCGGTAGAACAACTGAGATGGAGTATCACGAAGCTGAAGAGGAGTCGATTACTGAGCCTATAAGAGGACACTCCATTGATGCTCAAGATACAGACGACGAAGCTGATGACGCTCAACTCTCTGTGAACGACGTAGAGAATGAAGGCAGAATGACACTACGTAATCGCAGCAATCTCAGACCGCCAAATCGATATCGTGATTATGTCTGCAATGTTTGTCACGTACAATCTTCATCTGTTGATCCTCTGTCAGAACCTACAAATTTCAAAGAAGCAATTGAAAGTGCCGAGTCAGATAAATGGCGAGTAGCTATGGAGAGTGAGATTAACTCTCTTAAAGAAAACCAGACATGGGATTTGGTAGATTTACCCAAAGGGAGGAAAGCGATTCCTTGCAAGTGGGTGTATAAAATCAAAACCAATCCGGATGGCACAGTACAAAAATATAAGGCTCGCCTTGTAGTCAAGGGCTATACTCAGAAGGAAGGAGTAGACTTCTACGAGACATTTAGCCCAGTAGCAAAATTAAGCACTGTAAGGGCATTAATAAGTGTTGCTGCACAGGAAAAACTAACTTTGTCACAATTTGACGTATCAACGGCTTTCCTCTACGGAAATTTGAATGAGGAAATTTATATGAAACCTCCAGAAGGGTATGATGATAGAACAGGAAAAGTGTGTAAGCTTAAAAAAAGCTTGTATGGTTTGAAACAAGCACCTCGGTGCTGGAATCACTGCATCACACAATATATCTTGAAGATAGGATTCAAGCAGTGCGACAGTGATCCATGCCTCTTCATTAGAAATAAGGATATTGAAGAAAAGAAAATAATCCTTGCATTATTTGTAGACGACGGATTGATAGCGTCTGCAAACCCAAATGAAACGGAAAAGTTTTTGAGTGAGTTAAGACATTGTTTTAAAATTACCACTCAACCTGGCTCGTATTTTTTGGGTATTGAGATTAAGAGGGAAACTGATGGATCTATCAAAATCGATCAAAAAGGATACTCGAGACGTCTGTTGGAGAGATTTGATATGCAAAACTGTAAGGCTGCAGTAACTCCTATAGTTAAAGATATTCAAATAACCGAAAAAGAGCAGGAAGCAGCACCATTCCCCTACAGACAGGCAGTTGGTGCGCTTTCGTACTTAGCAATTGGGACACGACCTGACATATCGTATGCTGTAAGTGTTGTCTCAAGAACCTTAGACAATCCAAAATCAGATGATGTGGCCAAGGTGAAGAGAATCTTTCGCTACATTAAAGGGACAGTCAATAATGGTATAAGATACCAATCTTCCACCGCGTCAAAATGCATCCAAACTTACAGCGATGCAGATCATGGGGGAGATCCCACTACAGGACAATCTACGTCTGGAATGGTCTGCCTTTACTCGAAAGGGGCCATAGCTTGGCAGAGCAAAAGACAGAGGACGGTCGCGATTTCCTCCACAGAGGCAGAGATAGTTGCTGCCAGTGAAGCGGCCAGAGAGCTGATATGGCTAAAAAAGATTATGAAGTTCATGGTAGCTGGAGAAGTCTCATCAGAACTTTATCTTGATAACGAGTCAGCTATCCGCTTGGCCCACGACCCACCTTACGAATGTCACCAGAGGACTAAACACATTCGTTTGCGGCATTTCTTCATTCGGGAGTGCGTGACACGGGGAAACCTCAAGGTGCTGAAAGTGAAAGCAAATGAGCAGCTTGCAGATTTCCTGACGAAACCACTTTTCAAGCCAAGACTGAAAGAACTTTGCTTACAAATAGGTTTGAAAAACGAGACGGGATGTTAAGAAGTGAAGACTTCTTGGTAGTTTTTCGATCTCTTTAGTGTTTTGTACCTACTTGACGTGTCTGTCATTCCTGTTTGTATCTGTCTTTATGTTTTGCTATTATACTCGTATTTTATACTTCCAATCCGAGCTTTATCATTTCTTTAATAATAAAATCCATTCAAAATTTATAATTGGAGTATTTACTCATTCTTTTTATGATACAATATTTATTTTTCTCATTAAAACGTAAATCAATTAAAAATGTATGCTTACAAATGAAAAGTGACCCGTTGATCTTCAGATGACTTACTTATGTAGTTTTTACAGTTTCGCTTAACACAGGATGGCATTTTAGAAATGAAAATTATACATAAATGCACACATTCAACGCTTTCGTTACACTACGCAGGTATGCTAATAAGCATAATTTTAGGTGACACTTTTTGAATGCAAGTTACCTATCTACCCTTTTATATTGTAATATCATTGAATACTATATATTTTAGTCCAATAATTAGCCCATCCTTAGTGATGGGGCAAAGGCAATTCGCATGCATGAAATCAAATTGAATCGAATTGGGTAAATGAGCTATGACCAACAACGCGGCCTAGTAAGGATTCGTGTGTGTTAATGACTATAATAACCTCTGGGTGTGCACTTAAATAAGCTTCTTGTTCCAATTGAAATGTCATGCTGGTCCTTGTAGTACATTCTCGTTGGCAAGCGGTTAAAGCTTCTAAATCTTGAGAGATTATTCCAAATGCGGCCAAATTTTCTTTGGGTGCGCCCTTTATAGACTTTGTAAAGGGCATTTCTTTCAATGACGATCTTTAAATCAAGGAATATTAATATTGTTACGAAAAAATAGTTATTAAAAACTCAAACAGTGATTGATTTTAAACAAAGAGTACAATAACCAATACTTAGTACAATAACCACAAATGTAAAGAGTACAATAATCACTTCTTAGTCTGTGACAATAACACAATAATTTTATAATATGAATATAATTACCATGGACATATAATTTTTTTCTCTATGCCATAGTAAATCTATGACAATAAAAATTTTGCATGGAATGTTTGATTTACAGCACCTTTCTGCTGATGACCTTAAAATATTACTAGTTAATAATAAAAATTAGTCCGAAAATGGTATATAATAATAGTAATGTTTTATGTATTCATTCTGGTAAAATGATTTATTGAAGGAGCATATATTTTTTATATGACTGCGATTATGAAATCTACGAAGATAAAATGATTTAGGTACTAAAAGTTTCATTGTATCGTAAAGTATTTTTTGTCAAAGCAAATCTATAATGCACCGGTATACCGGCATATAACACACAGAACACCATATAATGACGTCATTGCGTAAAATGTCTAGAAGTCGAACGATAGCTCGAGAGTAGTCTAGACCGCCCGATAATTTTGATGTCGACTGAGACCTATCTCTTATTAGTGACTAATTTTAACAGTATCCTTAATTCTTTTAAAATTAAAGTAATATTTTCGTTGTTCTATTTTGTGTCTAGAAATACTGTCTTGAACAAATTTTGATGGTACTGAGTATTCATAAACTGATAGAAATCTTGGATTTATCATTGACCAAAACCTCTATATTTACTGGTTCATTATTTTTCGGCTCACACAATTAAAAAGTTTTAAATCATATAATTGGGGATCGGATAGCAATGAGATACCTAATAATTTAAATTGTGTGTGGTTAAAAAGTTCATGAACTTATTCGCCGAATATTTTTCCTCAATAATTGAAATTAAATATTAAAATAAATTATTTAAATTTATGTTAATAAATATATAAATAATTTCTCAATATTTGTAGTCTGTGTCTCACGTCTAATGAAACACCAATCAGAGCGCGGACGTAATTTCTGGGAAAATTGGTAGTAAATTAAAGTTAAGAAGAACTATCTTGGACGGGAAACATTGGAAGTGCAAAATAACCTTAATGTTTTACTTGATGTTTAACAGGCTACAAAGGTCAGATGTTATATTTATTTTTGAGCTAAAATATAAGTACTAAAATATTTATTCATTGAGAATCCCTTTTGTTTGTCAAATGACGTCACGTTCTCGGAGTCGCCGTTTACGCGGTTTTTTAAACATACTTTTATGTAAAATAATATATTAATTAATATAAAACACTTTTTAGAAAGTTGACCGATCCCCTGGCAATGATAAAACTTATGAGAAAAAAGTAAAAGTAACTGCAAATATTTAAAATATTAAAAGAGTCTATAGTCAGTATATAAAAAAATGACTAAAGTATTTAAATGATTTTCATTAATCTGTGGTAAGCACTTTATCTTTTCGGCTTGTATACTGTTGTGTGAATGTTTAACGGATGAACGGACAACAAAGTGTTAGCAGTGTTGGCACGCAAACGCACGGGTCTGTCGGTTAACCACAAATACGAGGTTTGTACGTGAATCGTTGCATTTCCAGTGTAATCGTCATCACGAGCCTCTTTGTCGGCGATGGCTCTTGAAATCTCTGTGTATTCATAAAGTATTCATTCGTATTCACGCACTAATGAGTTTAATAGTGTAGTAATAAGCTGCTTTTACAGGGTTAAAGAACTTTCATAAGGTCAGTACATATAAAACGGCTTAATAGAAAATCAGTCTTTATTGATTTCCTAACATCATATGTTGAATCTTAGTATTTTTCACTGTGTAAAAATCTACTGTAACTACGCTTATTTTCTTAAAAAATCTTTAACAAACATCTCTTAAGTTTTAGAACTGATTTAACAAATAATAGTTCCTAATCTGATTTAACAAATAATAGAACATCATATTCACGTAATAGTTTATACAGAGTTGTATTCATTTTACATTTACAGTAGTTAAATATTCGAAATATCAAGTGTGCCTTTTGAAATATAATTGATTTCATGAATAAGAATAGTAACAAAATAATAAAAGCTCTAAAACTAAGTATTGAATTGATTAACAGTATCGAAATATAAAAAATACTAAGCAATATTCCACTTATAACATAAAAATTTTCAATAAAAATTTTAGCCGTATTTATTCATATTGGAATTTGGAACTTCTACGTGAATTTAGTTCAGTTTATTTTATTTTCATATTTTTACTCCACTGAATATCAAAACGACACTTAAAAATGAGTACATTTTGTGAACAGGTTTTTGCCGTTTTTACGAAAATCAACTATTGACTTTTACTTTAGGTTTAAAATAAATGTGACTTCAAAGATATGAAGTAATCAAATAATAATACTTACTTAATTAGTTTCTTTTGAAATCAGGTCATTAGAAAATTATATAGGCATTGAAAAAAAAAATATAAGACAGAGTTATTTTAAAATTAAAATTTAGCATTACAAAATTTAATTAATTTATTGTTAACTGTCTTTAAGAATATCTGAGATGCTATCTGAGACATTTTTTTAATATTACAGATTCTTGTCTGTATCGCTTGGAAATTTTGATGTCTAACAAAAACAAATTATCTATTATTTTTAAAAGTTAATATTCGTTGTTATGAACAAATAGCCTCTCTCATTCATACTATCTGTTTTCCCGTCCCGTGACATCAATTATAGAATAGTGAAAAAAAAATTGAAATCTGTGATGTAGTTTCGAAGTCTATTTAATCAAACAAACAAAAAATCAAATCTTTAGCCTTTAATATATGTTCACAGATTTTCTAACAAAACCTAAAAAACTTAGATTGTAGCAGTATCTGTTAAAAAAAATTTAGATTTAAATATGATAGAAAATATTTTAAAGGCAAATTTCCTGGAGTCTTTTGAAAAGGTAGCTATCTGATCTTCATAATAAAGAGTTTGTTAGTTATCTACGATGTTGTCGAGTCAAAATGTTAGCAGCACATTGGAATATTTGTCACCTATTTGTGAATATCCCTTTAAAAGTTTCCATGAAAAGTTTGTCATCGTTAAAAGTGTTATGCTCGTTATTGCGCTATGTAAACTTTAAAAACTGGCAAATCATATGTAAATGGCTCAAATATGTTTGTGATATATTTATAATACAGATCCATATAAGATAATATTTAATTTTTTTTCTTACTTTTTTCATAGTATTTACAGTATCTGGCAAGAACATTCAAGGTGACGCCTACTTATCCGTCTACTGCGTAGTAAACGCCATCTTGACTTTGTAGTCGAGTCGAAAAGTCAATAATATGAAGCTCTTTGATTCGTAAACATGTCGTAGGTACTTATACAATCTGAAATGTATCAATTTGTTGATTAAAAAAATAGCACGATAAAAAGACAAAATTTATAATCATTACATTAGTATAAAATAAAATACCAACTGGATTTTTCATTCCCTATGGATGACTTCCCTACGGATGGAATCGAATAGGGAGAATGGGCTCAACACGTTGCCTCAGTGCGGATTGATTGCGACTGCAAATGCAGCCAGGACGAACTGGCTGACTTTACTCGCCTTCCGAAACCTTTGAGGAGTTCGAAATAATACATTTTTGCTCGCCCTTCTTAAGGTTGGCCATTGCGAAAGTTGCTTAACAACCGTATCGCAGGTTGAGTACGCTAGCCACTGCGCCATCGAGCTCATCCAGAGGATTTTAATATGATCTTTAGTAATTAATAAGTAAATTAAAGAAATTTCTCATGTGATAGACTTTAGGTATATAATTTTTGAAGTAATGTAGAATAATATCGTTAGATTGAAAGCTTAAAAGGATCGTCTATTTACTTCTTTATTGAAAGAATATAATTATCCTTATTTATATTTAATCCAGCGATGTAAATGTATTTTATACTTTTTGTATAAGATACCTTTAAAAGCTCATTAGCTTAGTTTTAATGAATACAGGGATAAAGTAAATTGAAATGGGTTTTCATGTTTGAAATAGCTACTGTATAAATCAAAACGCAGTTTCTCATTATTCATCATACAGAAACATAATTTTAGTAGCAATATACAGTTGAAAACGGTCGCTGTGTTGTTTAAAACAGCCTAAAACCGGCGGGTGAAGTTTACAATTGCTTCTGAAACTCGACGTAAGCGTATCTTCAGGCCCCATATTGCATCGCCGTTTGCATTTATATTCTCCATCGTAAATATTAAAATTTAATTTACTAGAAAAACAACAGTCCACAATTTATATTAACTTTTACATTTTGCTTTTTAAGTATTGGTGATAGACGCGATCGAAACTCAACCATAAATTTTGGAAATTATTACGGTTTCCTTAGATGAAGTATATATCTTTAGGTTTTATTACCAAGGTCTCATTCCCAAACAGAGGGTACAACCCTAGGGGTTTTGGTGGATATGCTTCCGGTGACGGTGGAGAGTCCCACACGCCCCATGTCGCTAGTCAGGCGGCAGGGACTGTGCCTAAAGCATTTCCCCGACGCATTAAAAAAAGATCTTGTTACCAAAGAGTGATGGCAGTTTCTGCTTTAGTTATTATTCTGAGGCAAGAAGTTCAAATATCTTTGTTGTTTTTTATTTATTGACAATGGGCTCACTCTTGATTAATTATCTTTAATTTTACTGGAGTTTCTTAATTGCTCCATGGTTTCTGCACGTTTGTAAGTCTATGTTGATGTTTGTCTATGTTTCAGTATTCTATTTTTACCAAATTTTTAACCGATTTCGAAATGACAAAAGAGGAGGTTATATGTTAGACGACGATGTATTTTTTATACATTATTGAGCTGAGTAATTAGTGTTCGTAAAACTTTTGAAACTGTTTTATTCGATTGAACTTCCAAAGTTATGACGGCGCTGTGTTCGACGCTATATTTTTATAACAGACTGTT